GTAACTATGAGAAACCGTAGTGTCCTTATCCCCTACTTTCATCTTCTATGCTTGGGAAATAACAATCACCTTCCACATCTTAATAATTTAATTGTACTCAGGTACTACGATATGGACTGATGTGAGGTGGAGAGAAATTTTTTCGAAGCCATCTACACACCCACTACGAATCTGTCTCGAACTGTATGCCTCTGACCTAATTTCTTTACGTCATATTATATCACAACGTTTAACTAACGCTTACCCGTAGACCTAAACTAACTGTTCAATGTGTCATATCTGTCTTAATGTGGAAAATTTATCCAGAGCCTGTTTCTACACCCTAACGTTATGCTTCAGCCCTATACTTTTGCTTCTCTTACTATCAATAACCGGTTTTGCCTTTAATAATGCAGCACTTGGATTTGATGTTGGCGCCATTTTGGAGTAAATGTGGCCCGCATCTTGCAGCATGAAAGAAGGTTTTCGTTGACAGTCTTTTAACGCAGCTATTGACAGCACAATTTTCAACATTTAGTAATTCATCTGATCCTTTTTCCTATCCTTGGGATCCTCTTCTTTCGTCGTACACTGAAGGCACTTTGGGGGATCAAAAAGACCAAACAATGTGGTTCCGGGATGTGCATACTGTTTATACGCCGATGAATTGGGGTGACAGTCATTGGGTTGGGCTTGTTATATCTCTTGATACATGGCACATTGATATTCTTGACCCCTGCGTCGCTGCAACAGCTGACTCGAACGTCCGAATGTATATGGCTCCAATCGTCAAAATGCTCCCTCATCTCATTATGTCTACCTGCAGCCGCAATCATATTGTACATGTCGATGAAACTAATTTCAGCTACAAGCGTCTGCCAGGAATGGAACACAATATAATTGCGGCTGGGGACTGTGGACCTTTAGCGTTGAAGTTCATTGAGATGCATGCACATGGTCTCTCTGTCCACCAAATGTCTTCTATCGGTGCAGACCGAGTAGAAGCTGTTCGTATTCGGTACGCGTTAGACGTATACGAACAGTTTGCTCAAAAGATAGCTCCTTAGGGGCATTGAAGCTATTTCCTCTAATCTTGTTACTTATGCGTCTGATATGTACTATAAGGGATCACTGTACCTGTAAAATGTTAGTTGAGGAAAGTGTGTGTAAGTGATATTCAAACATATTGTTGTAAGTACATATACTTTCCGAACCCGTGTTCTGAACCTGTCATGTAGAAGAGCAAACATCAATTTAATTTATTTACTCTCGGTTAATGGTGTCATTTAGAGAAAAAGCACATGCGTCCACTTGTCAAACAACATAACCCTATTAAATATTCTTCTTATCTCCCACACTTCTTCTACTCAAACTATCCCCCACCCCTACCTAGCCTACATAAGCTTTAATCACATCTTCAGTCTTCTGCATTTACTTGCAACTTTCCCCCTCTCCTGCATTCAACTACTTAACATTAATGTCCCTCCAAACGAGCACACACCCGCAACACATAACACATTATAAAATGGAATATCTGAAACTCTCACCTCAACCTCAATAGATTCAAAGTAATGGATACTTTGCTTGATGATGTTGCAGTAGAAATTTACCAACGTGTCGCCCCGAGTAGCTTTACCAGCCTTGCTCCTTTGTTGCTTGTAGGGAAAAAGCAGAGTGCAATAGCTTTTTCCGCTGGTGTTCTCCGGCCACTCCCACTACCGGAGTTCTTCAACAATGCGGAGCTTATCAATGAGGGGTCTTCATACCGTGCATTCTTCAAGAAATGTCTTGATGCTGAAAATCCAATAGCTCTATACCTAGAAAGTATCCGGATTGCATCCCAATTTGGCGACACAACCCATGCCATTGAGCTCCTCTTACACGTGGTCCCGGCCCATGACTATGCCATATTTTCAAAAGGGTTATTGCAGATCATTTCAAATTGTCCAGATGAGGGGATTGCAACAATTTCAATGTTGTTCAGTCGAGTTGGCAGCATAGTACACCTAGAAGAGATTGGTAATGTTGTTTACCGGCATTTTCACATTTTTCGACCCGCCACGAGAAGACTCTACACCAACCTGGTGGTCGTTGCTAGCATACCCGTGTGCACTGGTGAGAATTGTGGTGTGGGTGTTCGTTGTCTGAATTGTTATCTGTACTGGTTTATCATCAACCTCAACAACATCTTCTAGTTCTGTGCCCGTAAGACAGTTATCCTCCAATCTTGAAATGGGGTTTTATATTACTCGGAAGTGTATCTTGTTTTAAATTAATATCACTATTATTTTAGTTGGTGTATTTACTTAAGTTTTAAAATTTCTGAGCACCATGTTGAGTACACTGATTAGTCGAATATGTAAAATACAAACTACTCCTCTGTTCCCAATCGAGTTGTGTAAAATCACAAATTAACTCTTAATTGGTTGGACAAACTTATATTGTCTTCTATTTCTTTTGAGCTTAATATATGCACTCTTATTTATATATCTGTTTAACCAAATACATCTTCATTCTTATCCTCCTCCCCTTAGTACACAACTCTTACGGGTACAGTACAGAGTAACCAAAGTAATCACCATTAAGAGAAGAACAATTTACTTAACCACAGCCGATAACATCTAACGAAAAAGATCAACTCATAAGACATTATTCCAAACATTTCTAGTCAATACGTAATAATTAATAGCTACCACCTCCCAAAACATAATGGTACTCTAAGCCAGACTTCTCATAACATACCCACTCCACCGCATCCACCTTCTCAACACATCTGCCTAACTCTACGAGAGTACCAGTAACCTAAACAGTCAAAACATACGTCATCAGGAGTGCAGGCAAACTCGACGCAATTGGGGACGTCTCCTCCTTACGGCCCGGCGGAGGCCCTCCACATACATTGCAGTGAGGTTCCCGTGGTCAAAACATTTCATTAGAAATGGCCTATAAATGGATCCTTCGTTCGCCAGGGAGCTCACAAAGATGAACTCGTCAAGATCAACTACACTTAATACTTCGGGTGCAAGAGCTGCCTCGATACCATCATGTCCACCACTGATGAACGGTGAAATCTCCCGAAACCCATTTTTACCAACTCGCCTAACAATGTCTATGAATATCCCTTTTGCTAAGTAAACCATTGTGTTGTGGTATTCAGCATCTCCATATCTTACTTCTTATAGCCAATGAGTCTCACCATATTAAATTAAGTCTACTCCACGGTCAATCAAGCTATGTAATTTAGTCTAATAGACTGTAAAATAATCGACGTTGCCAGCTGTTAAGCAGGAGGTATAGGAGACTACGGCCTAGCAGTGCTGAGTGAACCTCCACTCATATATGTTTGTTTCGCATAATTACACCTTCTGTGGGCAACTTGTAATGAAAAGTGAAGTATGATTTGATGTCTATCCACCTCGACCCACCTACAAACTGCCTTACGTGTGGTAGTAACCAAAACCCACTTTCAGTAAATTAATACAATTAACCCTTAACACTTTATCCACTTTCTCCCCTATTCCAACCAGATAATTAAGTGCGTTAATCGTTAATAAATTATCGCCCGTCTAAATGCTTTCTCATAACCTACGTTCAAAAAATCACACTTGTAAAATGGTTCATATTCCAAACGATTTACTAGTTGACATTTTTCGCCGCCTTGGTGCGATTGGATTTAGAGCACTTGGTCCATGCATTGCTGCGTCCCCGGTGACAAAGAATGCTGTATATGCACCTGAGGTGCTCCAGTCAGCAGATCTCTCTGATTTCGTCGCTGACACAAGGATGTGTCAAATAGACTCCCCGTATCGCGTTTTCTTCAAGGCATGTGTCGACAGCGGTAACGTCAGGGCCAATCAGTTAGAGGGCTTGCGTCTCCTATGTCAAGAAGGGCCATCAGATGCAGCGTGGGCTATGCTAGACTACTCGCCCTCTCACTCCATGTTTGCAACATTTGTAGTCGGTGTCTTCCGCATTTGTGCTGGAGATTTTGAACTTGGAATGCAGCGGCTAGCACCGATGTGGGATGTAGTTGGCAGTGTACGGGAAGCAGTCTTTATTGCGGACATGGTTATGGAACAAATCGTTGGAATGGGTCCTGCTGAGGAAGGCATATACATCCAAAGCCACTCCTACCCTATTCAGGATATACCAGACTGCACTTATATGTTTTGTGATGTAGATAACGTATGCGAAGACTGCTTTGGATTTTGGTACTCCCTCATTGTCCGTTGTATGTGCTGACTGTAGCATACGTATCCAATGTTAAATAGTGTCCAAAGGAAGCTGTCCTGTCTTGGTGGCTGAAGCAATCTATGTCTGCTCTCTCTGATCCTTAAATAAACCTTAAAACCAATGTTCTAGTTTTCACTTTGTAGTATATTATGAACAATGGGAGTTGTATTATATTAAGTTGTTGTTCGGTTTGTAACCTTGAAATGTAATTGTTATTGTGTTGGCCTCTAAAGGTGCTTCTGTGTTATCATGTACCCTGTTTAATATAACTGAGAAGCTTTGTTTCCGTCTATCACCTCTGTTTCTTAGACATTTTGCTACGAGAAACCATGATATTGTAGTCATGTACGACCTGATTAGCTAAATTAGGGTCAACTCTTCTCAGCACTACAATATCTTACTTACGTTTTGCCTTCGCCATGACGAGGTCCCACCTTAAGTTCTTACAACCTGTGTGCTAGAGGAAAAGCCCGTTTGGTGACTTTAAACCTTTCCCTGCATAATTGCATCAACTCCTACAACATACACCACCTCAACTCTCAGTATATACAATGAAACCACATTCTTCTCCATTATATTTCACTTAAGTAGCTTACATCTCCCAGTTTTTTAATACAAGATGAGTTACGCATCAAATACATAAAAGTGCTTAACATTATTTTAGCCCAACGTATACACGCATGCAGTAACAGTAGCTTAGTTTGCATGACCCAAAAACCTTCTATGAGCTTCATCCTTCCGCATATTTCAACCTATTTCACATGAAAACCATGTTATGGCCAGTCTCCTTATCCACTACTTAACCGATTACATTTGCTGCAACCTATGTACAATCCAAAATGAGCAGTACGCTTGTCTATAGTTCGCATCACCCCCTAAAAGATTGATTGAAGTCAGAAGTTAGTCCTTAAGTTAATTTCACATTGTCCGCACCATTATGAAACCGACAAAAACTTACATTACGGTATTGGATTCTTACAGGTGGCCCTGTTATGGCCAGTCCCAAAACACCTTGAACATCTACCTGCGCTACGCTGCCTCGTCCTCTTTCCCTGCAATATAACAGTGACTAGTCATTGATCTATCAGCTCTCCATCACTGAGTCATGTGCTATGTAAGTTTGTTCTTGTTGACATTACCGAACTCTCGCCCCTAGACAGAATCCTTTTCTTCCTTGGGCGGCCAGGTGGGGCACTGGACTGTGGTGGCAGCTTCTCGGAGTTAACCAACTCCTCTGGGACGTCTTCATTCTCTGCAGTTGGCGCAGGCATTATCACACAGCTATAACCACTTCTGAGGCCCTCAATCTTGTAATACTCTTCTACCATGTCTACAATTGGTGTGCGATTAACCCTTCCAGCTGCTAGTGCATGGCTACAAGGAATGCCAAGGGTGTCAAACACTTTGCAGCTGCAGGTTTTCCTCTCAATATCCACTGTGAAGCCAGCCCCGTCGCTACTATTAACTTGGTAGATGGAGAAACTAGCTGGTTTTACAGTTAACTCGGCAGACTCTGATAGATTCCTCATGAGTAACTCTTCTACCTCTGGTGTTACTGGACTTCTATGCTTGTTCGCCTTTTCCCGACGGCAGTAAAACCATCTCATCAACATCATACGGATTGATTCCACCATGGACACAATTGGAAACTCCAACGACTTTGCTAAAGCAGCATTCAAAGACTCAGCCACGTTACTACTCATTATGTTGTATCGCTTCCCTTGAAAGTAAACACGTGTCCAGTGAGACATACCAATCCCTCTAAGGTAGTTAGCACATGCTGGACTCCTTCTTTCAATTTCATCAAATTTGTTCCGAAACTCACCCACAGTGTAAGCAGCAGCTGCTTTTGCAACCAAATAACCAAGGCCTTTCTGTCTAGCATATATGCTTTTGACGTTGCGATAAAGATGGACAGAACATGCCCCATGTTTTGCAAGCGGATATACCTTCCTCAATGCTGCATAGATGGAGTTGTGCCTATCAGAAACGAAAACCAAGTCTGCATCATCAGGTATTATTGTAGCTAGTTGTTTGAAGAACCAACTCCACGCAGGTTCATTTTCTCCATCTACGACCCCAAAGCCGACGGGCATTATTTGAAAATTACCATCTTGGAAGCTGGCAGTTAGCAAACAGCCTTTGAATTTGGCTTTAATAGTGGTTGCATCAATGATGACAACTTTCCGCATGAAGTGTGAAGCATGAATACAAGCACCAAAAGCGAAAAACAAGTACTTGAACTTGCACTTCTGGGTCCCAATTCCAGTACTGACAACATCGTAAATGGTTCCTGGATTTGTTTTCTTCAGTAAGTACAAATAGACGCATAACAACTTATAGCTTTCTTCAGCACTTCCCCTCGCAGCAGAAATTGCAACCTCCCTTGACTTCCACGCCTTCATATAGTTAATAGAAACACGAAGCTCACTGAGTACAATGTCGGGAATATCCACTGCCCTAGGACCAATCTTTCCATTGGAATACTTAGATTTCAATACCTCACCAATAACCTTACAAGAGGCTTTCTTCCCGTATTGCGACCGGGTCGCGACATCACAAGTATGGTTCAAAGTAGCTCTCCTAACGACCATATTCTCAGATAATCCTTCTGCTATATGTCCATATACCCTCCATGGACATGATAAGTCAACGCATCGCACTATTAACCTCTCTTTATCAGACCTTACTTGCTTGAAATTGAAAAATCTCTTAATTGCATATATGGCTAGCGCTGTTTGCATATCCGCCTTGTTCCTGAAAATCCGACCAATAAAGATAGCGTCGTTCTCCGAATCATAAACACCCCTGCCCACTTCTTGTGTCTGCAGAATGTCGTCAATAAAACAAGGAGGACAGTCCTCTTCTGGTAGAACATCAGCTTCCATTAAATCATCGTACATGCTTGCCAGACTGAGTTGAATATCCTTATCTCATACACCATCTTCGACCTCATTGTTAATTTGTCCGAGGAAGCCTATGGGTTCCTCCCCTCTACTGCGTCCGTCCATACAGTTATACAGCTCCGCAGCCGTCTGAAAGCTTGCCCCATCACTATCTGGAAAGCTGAGCATCCGGAACATTTGATGGGCCATGATGGTCTACCCCTCTGAAATGCATTGCATTCGAGTTCTCGCCAACCTCTAGGAGATTCAAACCAGTCGCATTTGATGACTGACCATGTACCATACCATCAACACATCTTGTAGAACCTGCACTTGGTGGCTGACCCTCTAACATCCCAAAGCCTTGGTGGAGTGAGAAGTATTATTTCCTTACAAGTTCACTCCAGAAGTTGTATTCCGGGTCTTGGTCTTCTGCATCAGTAGATGGAACTATGACACGCTCATCTTCAACTACCTTCTCTTTCCCTTTATCTAACTGTAAACCTTGGGCTACTCGCGCCATTCTTTCCACACGTTCTAAATTAGCAACAACCTCTGCATTATACAGGTTATTGAGGTCGATTACGCCATCTGCATCATAGATAGCACTCCCTCTTTCTATCCCATCGACTGCTTCAGCAACCTCCATAGATGACACTGAAATTGTTCCATCCATTGCAGAGTTGACAAATGGGTCACCTTTTGTAGATGGCGTACCATCATCAAGTCGGATAACTTCATCTTCGCTTCCTATACGCGGCCTAGCGCTGCCGTTAGTGTCTGCCTGCAGTTTGCTTTCATATGTCACCAACAAGTTCATTGACCTTGTCGCAGCTCTAAGTCGAAAGAATGTTTTCACCCCACTGTCACTGTTAATCAACACTGGCGGTGTTTTCCCCGAAGGAAACATTGAGAGTTCATTTGGCGGCCAGTACGACATTCTTCTGACCACGCCTTCAACCTGTGAAGCAAACTCCTCCTCTATACGCTGCTTCAGCGCTGCGTAAGTCATCTTTTCAGCAACCATAATGCATTCTGATAAACACCCGTTCAACACACGAAACTTCCAACTCCCTTCCGTAGAACACTCCCAATCGCCCAAAATAACCAACAATGTCGACTGCAACACCTACAACAAACAAGAGACAGTATAGATTAATGAACAAAACCATTTGTAAATCGAATTAAACAGGGGGAATCTTCCACGATTTGTAGATCGTGGACCATAATGACATCCATAACCTAAACCTTGGCTTTCACCTAACCCGCACCCCCCCCCCCCACAAACTCAACGAATCTACAATTGATCTAACCCAAATACATCACCAGCGAAAGCCTGTTACGATTATGATCCAAAAAATTAATAATCTCTCCACTTAATGGTCGAGACGATAACGGCGCAAAGCAAAAAGTGAACTTCATTAGATTGCAGTTAGAATTACCTCATCAGGATTCACCATCTCTGCATAAGGTTTTCACCAAATCCACGGTATCTCTAACTTCTTTACTGTTAACCAAACTCAAGCCTCCAAATTTACACTAACCACTCTCACTTATTATAACCCACAAACCCTAATATCCCAATACAGCTTCGTAGGTGAATTCCTGTCCACAGAATTACCCTCAAAAGCTGAGCCGTACTGTAACTAATTCCCGCCTCTCCCACTAATGGTAATCTCTAACCTAATTGGATTACTGTAACCGCTGACGTCATCAACCCACTGAAGATCACTCATCACACTTTCCCGCTTCTGTCCGAGGGGTAGAAATGTCATGCACAGGACGTTTTAGCTGACATGTCTATGGTTACTGTGTTGAGGTCCTAATTCGAAAGATTTGAGTTGGAAAGTGCCTATTTCGTTAATATGCCCTTAAAGAATTTTTACAATAATTCTTATGGTCTTGTGCCACCAATTGGATTCATAGTTTCTTATTACTACAGTAGTGAAAAAGGAAAAGTCGCTGTAAAGACAAAGAAGAAGCAAAACAGTGAAAATCTGTTTATACGTACGTACGATTACATCATGCAGATAGGGTTTTTATTTGGTTGGTGTTAATAACGTAGGTACGTAAGGTTATCAAACAATGTAGTCGGTGGTTCAGAAGAAAATCAAATGCAAAATTCAAATGCATATATATAATTTTAAAAAATATAGAGATGTTTTCATAAGTGAAAAGGTCAATCGATACACAAAAAGAAAATGATAGATTAGAAACGAACTTGGGGTCAAGAGTCAAGGGACCCAAACTAAACTACATTTTAGACAAAACACTTTGTAAAGAGCTGTTTCTTTCCTTTTTGTCATGTTTTGTAGAATGTTCCAGTTCGTGTAATCTCGTCCATGGAAAATTATTTATATAAAAAACGTATGTATTGTTTTTTGGTAAATATATCGTAATTAATCAATTCCACGTTCGTTTTTATTATAATATATTGTTGGACAAAAACAGATCAGTGTAGTACGATAGGCTAGTTTAAATTTAGTAGTAGTAGTGAAAACTATAAGGGCCACACGAAGGAAACGAAAACAGAAATGGTAGGGTCGAAACTATCAAGAACCATTGAAACTGGTGGTCAACAAGTAATTATCGTTTTCGAACTAGGTTTTTTGTTTTTGCATTTTTCTCTACTATTTATATATAATATTATGTCCCAAATCATTCGTTCAAAAATAAAATTCTATATATATATATATATATTCCAAACTAGTGAAAAACATTTATGCGTCGGTCCAATCAATGATCTTAGATATTTTATAGAGGTTCGATAGATTTTTAGAACTTCTTGATAGACCGACCATTTGCATTTACTATTTCTTTTTTGGGCTCTCTTGTAAAAACTATATACAGTATAAAACAAACACATACTAGTAAGTAGTATCTATGTCATATTCCTCCTAGGCTCCTAATTTTGCAAAAACTGCTACTAAATGCTAGTGTTAGTTTTACTGTGATATATTGTTTAGTGGAAACTATTTTTTCTTAGAACTGAAACAACGTAACAAAAGTTGGTACTTGGTATGATTCAAAACAATGTCCAAAAATATCAAAGAGTATGTATATGTTGAGTTGTTGGATATGACATTAGAGCCCAAGTCACTCAACCCACTTTTTCGATATCTATGTTTTGGGTCTTTTGGTCTTAGCCTAATGAATACCCATAACATTGGGCTTTAAGTTTAAGCCCACTAAAGATTTTAAGCGCGATACCTTTTTTTGCTCCCTGTCGACGACACTTGTTTTTTTCTTTTCTTTTTTTGATGAGATGGCACTATATGCAAAACCAGATATGTATATGAGTTTCGAATCACTTATCTAATCTTCATCAGCATTAAGGCTATATTCAAAAATAATTACAACAAAAACTCACTTTGTAGTCTAGCTTAATCAACTTAAGACTAGAGATTATTGTGTTTACAAAATTATACATTGGATTTAGGTATACGTTTTATTTAACTAGGCTATGAATTAATACATTGAATTTAAGGGATAATTTTTTTGGTAAATTTAAGACCAACTAGTACTAACATTACTCAATACATTGGGTTTGACTTTTGAGGATAGAATTAAAAGTGTAGTTAATGTTCTGTTTGTAAATTTATCACATGGAGCATTAATTACAGTTAATTAGGGTTTATGGCGTTGTGGAAAAAATATACATACTGTATAGAGAGAGGTTACAATGGTCAGCAAATGGACTGATGGGTTAATGCCTTTAAAGGACTTTTTGACTTTTATCATTTTATCTGCAAAAGAATACTAATATATAGTTTTTTTGTTGTCTCTGTGATAAATGGACCGACAAAATAAAAATAAAAAAGCGATCCGTGATTTTCGCTGTTAACTAATTTCACGTTTGTTGTTAGGTAAATTGGTATGTCAGGACTCAGGACCAGAGCAAAGTAGGAGTAGTATTTAAAAAAGTTGTATGAATAAAAAATAAAATAAAAATGTTGGTAAAATAAGAGAGACTCTTAATGGTGGAGAGAGTCTCAAGAACACAACGAACCCTTGGGCTCCGTACCTCTCTCTCTCAACGGCTATAAAGCAGCGGTCCTATCGACACGTGTCGTAGGGGTAACTGATCGGGAGAATTAAAGAATATATCTCGCATTTAATTTAAAAAATACGAAAAGCCAACGTGGCAAAGCTTTATTAGATTCCCGACAACGTTCCAGGGGTAAAATTGGTATTTCGATTTCATCTTCCTTCCACCGCACTCTCTCGGTTCAACAAATAGAGAGAAGAGAGAGAGAGAGAGAGAGAGAGAGAGAGGCGCCTCAGCTACGAGATTTGCGGGACCAAATCAATGCTCATTGGTCCCTCTCCTCCTTCACACACACACAGAGATAGAGAGTCCCGAGCCAATGGACAATTTCTAAAGAGAGGAGGAGGACGACGACGACGAAGATGGAGTAAAGCCCACGAAGACGAAGAAGAAGAAGGTAACTGTTCTGTGTGTTGTTTCTCTGTAGTGACTAGTGAGAGAGAGAGAGAGATCTTTGGGTTCTTCTTTGAGTTTCGAATTACACTGTTTCATCCTTACCTAGATTTCTCAATTTTCTCCTCCTATTTATGATTTTTAGGGGAAATTTTTCTTTTACTTGTGGTTTTAAAATAAAAGAGTGAAAATTTAGGAATTTAATTGGGTCAAGTGTTCCTTTTTCCCCTATTTTTTAGATCGAGATTGCTATATTTAGTAATTTTTGTGGAAGAACGATTCGGCGTATATTTAATTAGATTCGCTTCATAGATTCAGAGGAGCTAGGGTTTATTCAATTCTCCACTCTCAGAATCGCTTCCTTCCTTGTGTTGTGTTTTAATACTGAAATCTGTGGTGGTGGATGTTTCAGATTAGAGAACGGCAGCACTTTTGAAAAGAAGAAGACAACACAACTCACTAGGTAATAAAGCCCCTCTCTTTTACCTCTGTTTATACACATTTTTATTTTTCTATATCAAAGATTGAAGATTTAGGGTTTAGCTCTCTCTTTTACATTTGTTTATACACATTGTTT